GCTGACTCCCACCACGCCGCCCCAACATGGATGCAAGGCCCCGTCACCGCCGACCCGCCACGCCGCCCCAACACGGCATGCAAGACCCCGCCGTCGCCAACCTGTCTTCACGCCACCCTGACACAGATGCAAGGCCCCGTCACCGCCGACCCTCCACGCCGTCCCAACATGGCGCGCAAGACCCGTCGTCATGCCACCCCGACACAGCACGCAAGACCCGTCGTCACGCCGCCCCCAACACGGATACAAGGCCCCGTCACCACCGACCCGCCACGCCGCCCCAACACGGCGCACAAGACCCTGCCGTCACCAACCCGTCGTCACGCCGCCCTGACATGGACGCAAGACCCACCGCCGACTTGCCACGCCCCCCAACACGGCGCGCAACTATGTTAATTTAATTAGATTATAGTTGCATGTACCCTTGTTAGTTACAATATATCATTGTTTTGTTAATGCAGCTACTGTTGACTGAATAATTGTTTGCACTGAAATATGTGATGTAAATTATGTAATTTTGGACACATTCACCTAAAACACACTGAACATATGTCCATTTATACAGATATTTGGCAATATTTCACAAAATATATTAGGGGGGATGTTTTATCTTAAAAAAATTTAAAATTCCAGAAAATCAGAAAGATTTTTCATTTCTCAACATATATTACCATTTTTCAGAAATTTGTGAGAATTTGTGAAAATTTCAGGATACGTTTTTTCCTGATGGGTGTGCGAGTACTGGCTCTTGGGTGACCAATGCCTTGAGTTTCTGAAATGATCGTTCCTCTTCTGTGCCCCATTGCCATTCGGTGTCTTTTCGCGTGAGTTTGTTGAGTGCTCGTGCGTGCATGGCAAAACCGCGAATGAAGAGGCGGTAAAAATTACAGAACCCCAGGAAAGAGCGGACGTCTCTGACCTTTGTCGGGTGTGGCCAGTCTCTGATACCCGAAATTTTTACCAGGTCCATATGTGTTACCCCCTTTTCAAGGATTACCCCCAGGTAATCCATTTGCGGTGAGTGGAAGAGGCATTTCTCCGGTTTGAAGTATAGGTCGTGGTCTAGAGCTACTTGAAGCACGTTGCAAACTGCGTTGATATGTGCTTGAAGACCCGCATTTTCGTGAGTGGCTATTCCTATGTCGTCCATGTATATGCGTATAATGGTGCCCAGTAGCTCGTGTTTGGCGATAGTGGGTCCCAGTATTTCGTTCATCATAGTTTGGAACATTGCCGGCGAGTTTGTGAGTCCGAAGTACATTACAAGGGGTTCGAAGAGCCCATACCGTGTTTTAAATGCCGCCTTTGGTTCGTCTCCCGGTTTGATGCGTATATTATTGTACCCCCAGCGGACATCCAGCTTAGTGTAGATGTGGCCGTCTCCTAGGTCGTTGATGAGTTCCGATATGAGGGGTAATGGGTATTGATTCTGGATGGTGCATGTGTTGATCTTTCGGTAATCTTGGACTGGTCGTAGTTTTCTGTCTTTCTTCTTTATGAAGAAGAACGACGAGGTGTAAGGTGACTTGGATGGGCGAATGTATCCCATTTTGAGTTGCTCTTCAAGCCATATCTTGAGTTGGCCGTCCTCCTCTTGAGTCATAGGGTAAACTTTGCAATCGATTGTCGCCGGCGTGCCTTCTTTAAACTCGATCGCATGGTCCCATGGTCGAGAAGGAGGGAATCGATGGGATGCCTCTTCACTGAATATTTTCGCGAAGCGTTGATATGGTGTGGGGATTGCAACTGCTTTCGTGCCCTGGTGAGTGGCTATCGCAAGTTCTGTGGCAGTGGTACGTAGCTGGCATTCTGCTTCTAGTTCTTGGACTATGTTTTCACGTTCTTCTTCGGTGAATATCCTATTGAGGTGGCCTTCATCTTGTGTTTCTATGTTTGCTATCACAGTACAGCCTTCGTTTGGTTTGATGGACCATATGACTACTGGGAGTGCATCCTCATGGATCGTAGCGTGGGTCCAGCTAATGGTAGGTTCGTACGTGGCTAGCCATGGATATCCCAGTACGAGGTCTTCATTTCCTATGTCCGTGACAAGGAATCTCATGGTTCTGTGATTTCCTTTGGTTTGTACGTCCAAGTCTATGAAGTGCGTGATGGACCCAGCTTTATTCTCCGTGTTGTCGATATTCCATATCTTCTTGGGTCGCTCCAGAGCTTGCAGCCCGAGTCCCATGCGTTTGGCGAACGCTGGTCTTATAAAATTGTCGGTGGCTCCTGAGTCGATGAGCCCTTTTATGTCGGCCATTGAGTAACTTGTTCGAATTGAGACTGGAATTCTAAGCGAACGAAAGCAAGTCATGATTACAGAGTTACAGTTGATTGCCCTCACCCAGGCCGATGGGTTTAGGCGTCCAGAAAATCCTCCTGATTCCACATATCCTGAAGTATCAGGTCTTTTACTTCATCACTCGCCCCCCTTACTCCTTCTATCCATTCCTTTGCGACTTGTTGTGGGGTGGACGTGCTTGCTACGCGGGCCGCGGGTTGTTCTTGACTGTAATAGTCCGTTTCCGCCTTTCGGTTGTTTGATGGCTGCCATTGTTGCTGACATGGTTTTCTGGGTCAGGTACAGTTTCGTGAGATGTGTCCGGGCAGGTTACAGTTATAACAAATGACTTCCCGCGTGTTTTGGCGTTGGCCACCCCCTCTGCCCTGTCCAGGTCCTCCCCTTGGTGGGAACGGAGGCCTCGATTGGTATTGTCCTCTATTTGGATCCCCTACTTCCGCGAGTCGGGCACGCGATCGGTCCACCGAGGTATCCATTGCGTTGGGATCGTATCGCGGAGGGGGGTTACGTGGTGCGTTCCATGCGTTTCCTCCGAACCTGGGCTGGGGGACAAATCGAGGGGGTGCGTTCCTTGTGGGTATCGCGATGTTGAGCCTTGCCTTGAGGTGAATGTATTGCTTCTGGCGGCGTAAGGCGGTGTCCTTCCATTCATTGAAGGTTCATGGTTCATCCATTTCGTATACTTTGGTGAACAGTTTGCCCGGTAATCCCGCCGTGAACCGGTCGATCGTTTGTTGGTCGTTGAGGTGGTAGTTAGCCTTTCGTGCCAACTGCTCAAACGAGGTGACATACGTGTCTATGTCATCTCCTGTCATCCTAAACCCTTTTGCCAGTGTTGCTTGCGCCTGTTCTTGCTCCAGAGTGTTGGAGAATCGATCGGCGAATCCAGCCGTGAGCGTGTCCCATAGGTATTCATCGTACCTATCCGTTCCTCCCCATACTTCGTTGTTCAGCCATTGGAGGAACCCCAACGTCCAGTTGCTGACCAAGGGTCCTTTGATGTAACCTAGGAACAGCAAACATCTCTTGTAGACGTTGCTCATGATGGGAGCGTCGAAATTGAGACCCATGTATGCGTGCCATTGGGTAAGGAAGGACTCGTAATCAGCGCGGTCCCCTTTGAATATCGACGGTGGTTCACCTTCGAGTCTGGGCATTGGCCCTCCTCCCGGTCCTCCTCCCGGTGGTCCTCCTCCTGGTGGTCCTCCTCCGAAGATTCCCCCGAAGTTGCGTCTCGGTGGTCCTCCACCTCCTCCTCCTCCTGGCGGATCTCCTGGTCCTGATCCCAGTGGTGGGTTACGTCTTCTTGCTGGCGGCAGGTCAGGGATGTCTGGCCCAACTGCTCTGAAGATTGCGGCATCGTCAGCAGTCATTCGATGGCCGGTACTTGGGTTAATGGGTTGGAGGTGTGCCTCGGCTTCTTCAGCTATCCTCCTAATTTCGTCATCAATTGCCGTATGTCAGAGTTGTTCTGTAATGGTTTCGGTGGCAGTTGCCATCGGATTTTCTGCGGCGGGGGATAGTACTTGGATTTGTTCAGGTTCGGTTATATGGAGGGACTCAGCTATTTGCACGATGGCTTCTGCCTCTTCTTCTTCACTTTGGCTTTCTTCTTCTCCGCTCGTCTCAGATGGTGCGGGTGTTCGAGGTTCCGATGTGCTTGGTTCCTCTGTTGGTTGTCCGTCTATCTGTCCGTATTGCTCCCTTGTTGGTAGTCCTCGTGTGTCGATATCACAGTTGTAGTTTCTGCCTGCTGGTCGTACTGCGTCGTATCTGTTGTCGATTGGGTTCCACATAATCTCTACCCAACACAGATTCTCGAAATTGAACTCAACTGGTCTGTATCGTGTGGGTCCTGATGTGAAATCAACAAAATACCCAGTCTCTCCTCTGAATTCTCGCCACCTAGCGGCTCCTAGGAATTGGACGGGTACGTTGCGGTCTCCTCTTCGATCGAGGGAGTACGGCCTGAACTGGGTCCAACGGTCTTGAGTTGTGAACGCCACGATGGGGATCCTGGTCTTAATGTAACGCCACCACGGACGTTTAGCCTGACTTAGACTGCGAAAGGGCGTTCACGACTTAGCAGATATTCCAATAGGAGTCACGTGACTTGGGCACGTGATGTGGGTTCTTGGCGACCAAGGTACACGGCGCTTTTACGAGGCACGTGACCTGCGACTATACCAGGACGTTCTACGAGTCACTGGATAGGATCGATAATAGACAACTTGCTCGAGGGAGACAAGTGAACTTAGGTCACGACGATGAGAGAGATGTGGTGATTGAAGAAGACCAGGATAGCGATCCTGGGTCTTCGACTACTACTCTTTATACAAATACGAGGCAGCTTTGAAGCTCCTCCCGAAACCGTATGACGAATGGCTAAAGTAGCTCGAACCCTACTAGAGCCGTACTCGGAAACACGCCACATCGGCATGTGATACTGTAGCTGACTGATGTACGAAGTCCATGACACATTACGACTTACAAAGGAGGTCATCACCCATGAGTAAGCGTCCACTTCACCGCAACCGCAACAATGATCCACAATCTCAATAATGACCATACAAGCAAGTACTTGTCAGATGACATAATTTCACCATTTATTTGCACCTTTGATTATTTGTTATCTATCTTCTCTATCTTTAATTTATTATTATTAATTATTGCATCTGAAAGGTACATTATAAACTGCCTTGCATGGGATTTGAACCCATGACCACATCATGTGACTTATTAACTTATTTTCCAGGATTGAAGATTGACCACTACACCAATATGTCTTGTATACCCAACCAACTATGTTTTATTTATATAGCAAGGCAGAAATACAATATAAAAATGGCAGTGATATTGCAATATGACAACAACCAGTGTTGTGAGCCACAACTATATTACAACAAAGAGTGGGTATTATAATTAGTATATAATCATGTCATAGTGATACTGAGTTGTCAGGAAAATTACAACAGTATTATAATTTGTATAAAATCATGTCATAGTGACTGAGTTGTCAAGGAAATTACAACAGTATACCTGAATGCCCCTGACACTTACACATTGCCAATACTGATATCATTATGCATGTGCATAATCAATGTATTTCCATTGTGATCATGTTACAACAAATATGATCTGACATTTCTGTAATGAAAACCAGAAAGCAATGTACTGATGATACAGAGCTATTGTAGATATTGTGATGAAGAACTAGTGATCATATGGTCAACAAGATTGTGACAATACCTGTGATCTGTCACTTTGCAATATAACTTTCAGGGGAATCTTGAGATGACTCACACCTATCGAATAGAGAGGCGGGAGATTGTGCTGGAATCCAACTCAGATACATAAAAAGTTGAAAATTATGACGACTCACTTGTTACGTTCCTTCCAGATGTCTGCCAATCTCATGGCCTATTTGCCTGTTTGCTGCTGCTGCTGCACGTAGTTGAATGTCTTCAGTATCCCATAGGCAACGGCTAGGGCAATACACAGGGTGCGGCTAACGAAGGTGATGACGGTGATGAAGGCAATAATGATAAGATCAAGAAGTCGGCGATGACTAAGCATGACTTATAGCAGAACGCTTAGCAGCGATAACCGGCACACTAGCACAGAAGACAAAGGAAGGGATAGACAATGAGGCAATCTAGCTTTATACAATCTCCACACAGGGAAGGATTGACACAAGATATCAAAGCTAAGGACTACAAGGCATCCAAAGCCCTCTACTTATACTACAAGGGGGAGCTTTCAAGCTCAGCCCAAATCCAAAACCCTAGTATACCTATCCAATAGCATAATGCTCTCGATTCGCATCAGTCAGCCATACAGTCATGGGGTCACCATCTAGACCACGTCTGGGCTCAAGCTCATCCAGACTCACATTCCAGCCTCAGCCTAGGTGCAAGCTCATCTAGGCTCTTCCGGACCGTTCGAGGCAAGTCACGTGCTGGGGTCATGTGATGGCCAATATAGGAAACCTATTCCCAAGGCTCCTGGTAGCATTGTGGTGGATAAGGGTCACGTGAGCTCACCAATCGTGCCACGTTCACATGATCTGCTGTGGGGTATTCCCCCGACTCTAGCAGGCGTTCGAGCACTGCTGTGGCTCCGCGCACCTCGCGTGCCCACTCAGCATTGTCTTGTGCCTCCCTCCAGTACTCCATCTGGTCGCGTCCTGGCTGCACCGTGACACACTGGTGGAAGAGTGGGATCATCACTGTTCGTGAAGGGAATAATGGCAAAGGGCATGACATTTCCTGTTCCCCAGGTGTGGTTCATTTGCTACAGTAATTAGAATCAGTTATATAAATAAAATAAAACACAAAAGAAATAGACATGCCTGCAAGCATGCCTGCCTGAGTTCTGGGAGGATCTCAGTCCTCAAAACTTGCCTTATGCCATTCATGATATCAATTTGGAATTGTGCAACCCAAGGGGGGGCCACAGCTTGGTGGCCTGTTGCTGCTGCTGCTTGTGCAATAACCGTGTGCTCATAAATAACAGTGTTGTACCTGTCATTGAGGTCACACCCAAGAGCAATTGTCGCAAAATCGGGAAGGGCTTTATAATCGGTCCTGATTATAACTATAATTATTACCACATTACAACCGACCCCTGATCGCTTGCAACCCACTCATAATAATTCCCGACTAATTACGTCCACCCCAGCCGACTCATAATTAATTACCTGAGATTATAAGCGAACCATCAGGCAGTGAGATCTAATTATAATTGTTGTACGATGGTCATAATAAAGATCTGGTTTATGTAACTCGATTGTGACCGCAGTGTTGCCTCGTTTCGCACTCTAACTCCACTCCAACATTGTTGTTGTACCTCTGCCCTTTATTTTTGATACCTCTCATTGTATATCCAACATCCGGAATGCCAAAAGTCCAATCAAAAGGATCCAAGCGGTCATCGGCAGCAGCAAAAAAAGCTTGTGCAATCTGTATGAATCACTTTCGTCCTCAGGCGTTCGCTGCGCACACCAGGAAGTGCGAGAGGGAGAAGAGGGAAGAAGAGGAGCTACTGGAGTATAAGAAAGAGATGATTGGCAAGGCGCAGGCTCAACTTGCAGGTATGAGGTACTCTGCACTCTTCGTATTTCCGGTTCACTTCTCGGTCACTTTCCCCCCCTCAAGGTGCAAGCAGACCCGGTATGGCTATCGGGACGCCACCAGTCCATGGAGCCCCTGAACTTGATACTGAACTGGACTCGGACTCGGACATCGCAGGTACGAAATCATTTATCCGCGAAATCGGTCAATCCCACACTCACTCCCGTCCCCAGACCTTTACGATTATGATATCCCGGAAGCTGTTACGACTAGGCAAATTCGAACCGAATATCACCCTAACAGCCGCAAGCCTACCAAGACCCGTTCTGTTGATAACCCCAGCCACAACCCCAGTTCCTCCGCTCACCAACCACGCCCTCAACCCTGGTCGCCTTTCTTCAGGACGCGCGAGGATTTCGTGCTCTCCGAAATCCTTTTGGAGAGCGGTCTGAGCAATAATCTATCCGAAAAGCTCCTTGAGCTCTTCAGATTGTGTAAGACCGGTAAGGGGGAGGTGACGGTTGAGCGCCTTGCGGAATTTCAGACCGCTTGGGAGCACGCATCGTTGAAGTTGACCCCCGTGAGTTCAGGAGCGGTACCTCGGCGATGGGCTCATCATTTGTAGTTTGAACTGTCTACAGTATCTGTACCGTATAGGAACAAGAATTTGGAGTTCGATGTACACTATCGCCCGCTCTGGGATTGGGCGAAAGACTTGATACAGTCGTCACAACTAGCGAAACACTTTCACTGGGACGCAGAGAGGATTTTCCGGTGTACTGGAGACGAGTCCGTTCGTGTATTCAACGAGCCCTGGTCAGGAGATGCGTTCTGGGACGCCCAGGTATTATGGATGGCATCTAAGGTCTTCTTCATTCAACGCACTAATATTTTGCAGTCACAGATCCCACAGGGCGGGAATCCTCTCGCCTTTATATTATACGCTGACAAAACGAAACTTTCTAGCTTTGGGACAACACAGGGATACCCGGTTGTTGCACGTTGTGCCAACCTTCCTACAACCATTCGAAATGGCAATGGCTTCGGTAGCGGGCGTGTTGTCGGATGGCTTCCGATCGTATGTCCATAGCTACACCCTGGACTCTCCCACTGCTGATGAATATTTTCCAGGTCAAGGAGGACCCAATGGAACGAAAGAAACCCACGTTCGTAAATTTCAAGCGAACGGTATGGCACGAATCGTTTTTCGTGATTATCCAGTCTATCGTCACGCACTCGAAGACCGGCTGTTGGCTTGAGTGCGGCGACGGGGTGAAGCGATGGCTCTTCCCCATTGTTCTCATTTTGTCTGCGGATTACGAGGAACAGTGCGTCCCTGCCTTCTTGTGGTATTGCACCGGATCCTGATACACAATGACTACTAGGTGTGTAATGTCTCTAATTCGCGGAACAAAGTCGAAGTCCCCCTGTCCAATTTGTCTTGTCAAAAAGGATGAGCTCGCGGACGTCACAAAGACCTGGTCCCTCAGGACGGCCGCTCATGCACAAGAACTCGTTCAGCAGGCCCGAGGCCATAAGCGCGTCAAGGATCGTGAAGCGCTACTGTCCGCGTACGGTCTCCGCAATGTCAATGTAAGTATAACTCCTATCTCGTATTTCATACCTTTGACTCATATCGACGTTCTATAGAACGTATTCTGGACCTTGTCGCATACGGACCCACATCGCGCCTTGTCCTTCGATAGGCTCCATTCCAACAACAGTGGCGTCTTCGGTTACCACCTCTGGGGGGCTTTCAAAGCCCTGATAGGTCGTTATAGTCGTGAGGAAGAGGCGAAGGTGGACGCTCAGTAAGCTTTACTGTAGTTTTCATTCTCTGGTATGATTTACTCATACACGTTATGCAAACTATTCAGGTGTCGCGCCGTGCCTCGCTGGAGTGGTCTGTACCATTTCCATGAGGTTATGAATGTTTCCTTCACCGATGGCACGAAACACGAGGATCTATCGAAAGTATGCTTATTCCTGTTCTGTAGTTTCATTCTCAATACGTTCTTTTTCAGATTCTTGTATTCACTGCGCACAACATTATTGAGCAGAGCGATGTGGGAGGGTGGTTATTGATCCGCGCTCTGCGGAGCTTCACCATTGTTGACCTATATCTCTCTTTCGAGGAACACACGCAGCTCACAATTGCCGCCGGACGACGGGAACTTGCAAAATTTGGAGACCTTATGCAGGTACGCGTTACTCCTTTGTAACCTCCGAGTAGCATGTTAACGGTTCCCCAGAAGTACATTGCGGAGGAGTCGGTGACACAGGAAGATTCTATTACGAAGGGTTGGGACTTCCCGAAGATGCACGCGCTGGTGCACAGTTTCGACGACATCGAAATGAAAGGAGCCACCCGCAACTACAATACGAAGCCCAATGAGAAACTCCATGGGCATATTAAGAAGGCATATGCGAGGCGAACAAACTTCAAGGACGTCGCCCCGCAGGTATGTATGTTCTGTGGGTAGGACTTCAACTGACATAACTTTGTGTAGATATTGAAGATCGAGCACGCTAAATTCGTGTCGCTCCTCATTCGCACCGAGATCGACGAGATCGACGAGATTGCGAGTGAAACCACCGATGATGAAGGCACCACCACGATACATGATCGAGCAACGCCGCCAGTGTCGACCCCTACTCCCAGCGTGGTTCCGACCCCAGACGTAGTCCGGAGTAGTAAGGTGTTCATCGACGGG